GCTAAGCAGCATCATATGATGATGCTGCTTAGCCTGCTGTGTTCATCCAGCCCTGCACCTTGTGCTGGAAAAGCTCAGCAGGTCTGGCAGCATCTGTGAAGGAGAAAACAGAGTTAATGTTTCGGGTCTGGTGACCCTTCCTCAGAACTGATGGTGGCTGGGAAAACATCAGTTTATTTGCAGAAAATAGGGAGGTGGGTGGGGTAGGGAGCAAATGATAGGATAGAGCCCAAAGAGAGAGAGAAAGTTGGACAGACAAAGGAGTTGCTAACGATCAGGCTGGGAGGGTGAATAGTTGTTAATGGGGACTGTTCGTGACTAACAACAGGAGGTGTGTAATGGCAGGCTATGTGGTAACAAGGCCTGGTGTGCGGGGTGGGGGGCTGGGACATGGGAGAGTTTAGGTCCTAAAACTATTGAACTCAATATTGAGTCCAGAGGGCTGTAGGGTCCCCAAGTGGAAAATGAGGTGTTCTTCCAGCTTGCGCTGAGCTTCACTGGAACACAGCAGCAAGCCAGAGACAGAGATGTTGGCCAGGGAGCAGGGTGGTGCGTTAAAGTGGCAGGCAACAGGTAGTTCAGGGTCTTTTTTGCGAGCAGAATGTAGATGTTCTGCGAAATGGTCGCCAAGTCTGTGCTTCGTTTCCCCAATGTAGAGGAGACCACATTGTGAGCAGCGAATGCAGTAGACTAGATTCTGGGAAGTGCAGGTGAAGTGTTGCTTCACCTGGAAGGTATGTTTGGGCCCTTGGATACTGGGGATGGAAGAGGTAAATGGGCAGGTGTTGCACCTTCGCTGGTTACAGGGGAAGGAGCCGTAGGGCTGTGGGCAGGTGTTGGGGGTGATGGAAGTGTGGACCAGGGTGTCCCAGAGGGAACGGTCCCTGTGGAAGGCAGACCAGGGAGGGGAGGGGAATATGTGTCTGGTGGTGGCATCTTGCTGGAGGTGGTGGAAATGGCGTCTGATGATCTTCTGGATGTGGATGCTGGTGGGATGGTAGGTAAGGAGAAGGGGAACCTTATCGCTGTTGCGGGAGGGAAGAGAAGGGGTGAGGGCAGAAGTGCGGGAGATGGGTCGGACCTGGTTGCGGGCCTTGTCGACAACGGAGCTGGGGAATCCTCGGTTGAGGAAGAAGGTGGACACTTCGGAAGCTCCCTTGTCAAAGTTGGCCTCACTTGAACATATGCGACAGAGACGGAGGAACTGAGAGAATGGGATGGAGTCTTTACAGGAAGTGGGGTGTGAGGATGTACAGTCCAGGTAGCTGTGGGAGTCAGTAGGTTTGTAATGGATATTAGTGGCCAGTCTATTCCCAGAAATGGAAACAGAAATGTCGAGGAAGGGAGGAGTCAGAGATAACCAGGTGAAAGTGAGGGCAGGGTGGAAATTGGAGGCGAAATTGATGAAGTTTTCCAATTCCAGACGAGAGAGGGAAGCAGCACCAATGATATCATCGATGTATCGGAGAAAGAGTTGTGCGTGGGGGCCGGAATAGGACTGGAACAAGGAATGTTCCACATACTCCACGAAGAGACAGGCATAACTGGGGTCCACTCGGGTACCCATGGCAACCCCTCTTACCTGAAGAAAATGAGAGGAGTTGAAAGAGAAGTTGTTGAGGGGGAGGGCAAGTTCGGCCAAGCGGAGGAGGGTGGTGTTAGGTGAGGATGGTTCGGGTCTTTGCTCCAGGAAGAAGGGGAGAGCCCTAAGACCCTCCTGGTGGGGAATGGATGTGTAAAGGGATTTCACATCCATGGTAAAGTGGAGATGGCTGGAGCCAGTAATACAGGTGTTCATTTGATTCAAAAAGCTGGGTAACTCTGGTGAAAACTTTAAGACAAATTCCCCTGTTGGCACACTGACAGGATCAAGTACATAGTCTAGTTTATACAATGTCTGAATGGAAAGCGATATGGGGCTGGGTGAGAAACCAGGGTTCCATCCCGCTCTCCCGCCAACATGAGAAATTGGGTTAAATGACACCTTTTGTGTTTGATATAACACAGTGTGGAGCTGGAGGACCACAACAGGCCAGGCAGCATCAGAGAAGCAGGGAAGGTTGACATTTTGAGTCCTTGAAGAGTCCTGTCCCGAAACGTCAGCTTTCCTGCTCCTCTGATCCTGCCTGACCTGCTGTGTTCATCCAGCTCTAAACTGTGTTATCTCTGACTCCAGCATCTGCAGTTCTTGCTATCTCACCTTTTGTATTTGATTTGCTTTGCTTGACCTGATGAAGTGTGAAGCTTTCTTTTCGCTCCTTCGGCTAATTTGATGCTATTTCAGTGACAGTTTTCAGCCTACTGCTATGACCGTCACCCATCCATCTGAACCTTGTAATAAGTCAGTGAATAAAAGTGAAATGGCATTGCTGGAGATCTGAAATAACAGTGTTGGAGAAACTAAGCAGGACCAGCAGCATCTGTGGAGAGAGAAAAACAGTTACCATTTCGAGTCCACTGCCTCAGCTTTGGTAATCTTTCCTGAGAACAGGGAAGTTGAGTTGTGAAAGACACCGAAAGCCGCAAGTGCTTGTTACAGGTAGTCAGTCTTTGGTGAGAAACAGCCATCAATCTGGATCTCTGCTGGCCAGCTCCCATATTGATTATTTGTACCCTCCAGGTTGATAATCTGTAATAAAAATGGAAAAGGCTAATAATGTTTCTGTCGAGAAATGGGTCTTCGCTTTGCCTCTATGAAATAGGAAGAGGAATTAAAATGGATTCCGCAGTCGATTTTGTTAATTTCAAAAATTCAAATCAGAGCCATCTAACACCACTCACTCGAATAACTGTTGAATTTTCCTTCAACTTTTCCAGATCCTCACCACATCACCTGACATGCAAATACACTTCACCTGTTTTAAGCATGAGTCCATGCCTCACGTTCTGCAGCTGGAGGCTATCTAAATGTAATCTTGGAAGAAATGTTATTCTGGAAGGATTGGGAATATCAAAGATTATCTTCCTTAATCCAGATATTCCTAGTTACACTAACCTCCTATTCCAGCTCCATCTATGAATTCAACACTCAGGGACAGGTGTTAAAAGCAAGCTTTACTTCTGGTTTGTATGTGCCTGTGCCCTGACATCATAATAAGCTGTGAAGGTCCTGATTTGAGAATTGACATTATCTACCCCTGCACTGCAGGTTAAGAAAGGGTTATAGCCCTCCCTTACCTTGTATGCTGCAAACTGGTCACTGCAGAAAGGATCCTAGACAAAAGAAATTCAACTTGCAAAGCCAGGAATCTCAAAATTGACTGTTCAACTATTAATGTCAATGCTACCTGTAAAGTCCCCTATAATGGTTGCAATGTTTGCCATCTTTTCTTCACAAATGTCTCAAATTGATACATTTTAACTTTAATCCTTCTTTGGAGTCATTTCTCATTTCTAATCTTTGTGTATGTCTGTTGTGTTATTGTTTCTTCTTGCATTTAGTAACAAATAAACTCTCTTTTGTTAATTCAAGAAAGCCTAATTATGTTGACTCCTGAGAGAAAGACGTCCACAAGGGAGTGATCCTTTTTAAATTAACCTCCTTAACTAACCAACAAGGGTATTAGCAAGGGGTGGACCTAGAGAAGATCCAATAATTACCATGAGAAACATTTTTTTGACAGAAAGACTACTAACCCGCTACCCTTTGCATATTTCCAATATGCAAGTGACATATTTATCATATTTGAATCTGCAGAGTTGCATCAAAGAATTTCTTTACACAGCTTAATAAACTCTTATAATGAGAATTTTGTGCTCAAAGTTACTATTGAAATGGAGCAATTAAATGAGCTACACTTCCTCAAAGCATCTGTTGAGAGGTCTGACAGTGGGTTCTTAACTATTGGAAGTCTGAGTTCAGTCAATTTACATATTTTGTTAATTTCAAAAATTCAAATCAGAGCCATCTAACACCACTCACTCGAATGACTGTTGAATTTTCCTTCAACTTTTCCAGATCCTCACCACATCACCTGACGTGCAAATATACTTCATCTGTTTTAAGCATGAGTCCATGCCTCATGTTCTGCAGCTGGAGGCTACCTAAATGTAATCTTGGAAGAAATGTTATTCCTACACCCCCAGACACAAGTTTAATCATATTGGCTTAATCATATTGGCAACTGGGTGAACAGGGCCATAGTCAGCTGTTCATTGTGTAAGCTTGACTCTGAGGTAGAGCTTATCATAACTATCCTGCATGAAAACAGATACCCTGATTAAATCATCGCTTATTACGTGTCACAAAAACTTGAGAAAGGGCTTATGTCCATTATCTTTGGCAATGCGCAGTGACCTATCTACCTCAGATTACCCCAGAAGGGAAGATGTTTCAAATTGTGAATCATAGCGCAACACAGCATATCCATTAGTGGTTTTCTCCACTAACTGGATGTTGCTATCACGTCAAACAATGTTTTGCCTACCACACAAATGAGTAGTAATGTGATATATGAGATTCAGTGGCTGTGTGATGCCTGATATGTAGGCTCTACATCCCAATGACTGCCAGAACATATCAAATAATATGTCCCATTGATTATTCACAGCAGCCAGTTCAGGCTCAACCAACCGGTGCTTTCAAACCTTAGAATATGAATATCGACCATTCAAAATAACTCAGCTATTGAAAATCATTCATTAAAACATGCAGACTAAGAGATAGTCCAGAAATCAATTTAAAATCATCAGCTGGGATCATGTTGAAATGTATTTGCATGCTGGAAGCTCCACGTACAAATTCATAAGACCCTGTTTTATGTAGGATAAAGGAATTTGTGCATACAATGCACTTTTATGGAAAAAAAAAGGACATTGTGGACGCAGCCGATCTTTGCTACATCCTCATGGCAACCCCTGACCAATTGGAATCTACCTGCCTGGTCAGAGAATTAAGATTGACAGTTAACTGCTCTTGCTGCATCTCCATGTCAATAATGGCCTAACTAATCAGCACCCTCTTTCCATGTTGTTAAAAATGATATATTTTTTTTTCCATTTGGGTTTCTTGAAGTTCTTGTCCTGAGACAATGGTTAAGTCTGGCACGAGCAAACAATTCTTGATCAAGAACAAAACCTTTGTTCTGTAATCTTACTCTGAAATGTGGCTTGTCCAATAATACATCAGCTGAGATCATAACACTCTATGTTGGAGAATTCATTGTATTTTTTGATTTTCTTTTGAAAAGAAATGGTTGCCTGATAACTGGGAGGTAAGCTGTGCAAGAAATTTGCACTTAGACATCTATGTAACTGGATCATAATAATCAACAGGTGTTAAGCCATGACCAACTTAGAAATCTGTAACAGAATTTCCTTAAACCTACTCTCACCATCACGGTTTAATAGCAGCAGATGCTGACTGTTATGCAGGTAGAGAACCTAACAATTTTCAATGAAGTTACGCAAAAAATCTTCAGTTCACCAACCTTCTCCCTCTGAAAGTTCTCTGGTAGCGTGAATCCTTTCGAGCCAAGAAAGACCCAGTTTCCTCGGAAATGCAGATTCCATATCAGCTTGCTACCCAACCCCTCAATATATGTCTTAGCTTCTTTGTTCAGCCTTGAAGTAATCAGAAAAGGCCATTACACACATATGTAAAATGGTGAGGATTGCTACAGAGTAGAACATGACAAGAGATCCCACTCAGACCAGATGCTGAACCTTTGTTTCTTATTAATCTGAAGATTCGCCAAGACCTTTCTTTCATTGTTTTGGAACCCATTCAGAGGCACATTTTGTGTTGAAGTGTGCATCCGAGGTAACAGTTGACTTTGTTTTTGCGTAGGAATGGAATGGTCATAAGTCATTGCTGAGTGTCTAGCATCCTGTCCAAGCAAATATCAAGATCACTGTGATTCTGGGACAGACATGCGACATTCCTGCTCATGTTAGCTGAGTTTGCTTAAATATGGTGATCAATCTGGCGGAGTGTGCCCCGTGGCACAGTGTGTTGGAGGCCCACTGCAGACTGCCCTGAAATTCCCCTCCTCCAAAATAAAAGCAACTGTGAATTGATTTGTGCTCCAGAACTAGTTGCCTCCCTAGCCAAACTGCTCTGGTACTTGTACAATACTAGCATCCACTTCACAATGTGAAAAATTGATCTTATATACACAGTCCAGAAAAGCAGGCCAAATCTAATATGACCCAATTACCACCCTATAAGTCTAGTCTTAATTGTCAAAAAAGTGATGGAAGGAGTCTTCAACAGTACTAAGGGACTTTTACTCGCCAGTTACTTTCTCACCAATGCTCAGATTAGATTCTGTTGGCACCTGATTTCATTACAACCTTTATCCAAACATAGACAAAAGAGCTGAATTCCAAGAGGTGGTTGAGACAGTCTGCCCTTGAAATCAAGGCAACGTTTGACCAAGTGCGGCATCAAGGAACCCAAGCAGTGTATTCTGAGATGATGCCCTCTGGTCTTAACTCTGCTGAAAGGGTAGACAATTTTTCCACATCTGCCTTGTCAAGTCCCCTAGGAATTTTGTATGTTTCAATAAGGTTGCCTCTCATTCTTCTCAACTCCAATGAATAAAGTCCAATCAACCAACCCCTCCACATTCCTGGAATCAGCCTAGACAACCTTCTCTGGACTTTTCTTTTTAAAATGGTCATTCTCTAGATGTGGGTGGCCCTGGCCAGGCCAGCTTTATTGCCCATGTCTAATTGTCCTGAGGGCAGTTAGGAGTTAACCACATTGCTGTGGGTTTGGAGTCAAATGTAAAGCGGACCAGTAGTACTTGGCAGTTTCCTTCCCAAAAGGGCATTAGTGAAACAGTTGGGTTTTCCCCTAACAATTGACAACAGCTTCATAGTCATTGTTAAACTCTTAATACCAGATTTTTATTGAATTGAAATTTGACCACTTATTATGGCAGGACTCAAACCTATGTTCCTAGAACATTACCTCGATCTTTAGATTAATAGTCTAGCAGCAATATTACTCGCCCCTTGTCTCCAATGCCTTTCTTTAGGTAAGAAACCAAAACTGTCCACAGTATTCTATCTCTGGTCTGACTAGTTTGCCTTGTATAGTTTTAGCAAAACCTCCTTACTTTTATGCTCCATTCCCTTTGAATGAAAGGCTGTGGTTGTGTCAGGTTGTGTCTGCAGCTCATTGTACAAATAGAATAAGAGGAATGCTGTTCCATCTTTAACTTGGTATGGGAGCATTTGATACTGAAAGTTAGTGAGAAATTGTTTATTTGTTTAGTTACAAATGCTAGCACCCGATAAAAGAGAGAATGTTCACATTTACATAGGATTGTCATATGCACAGGATACTGGAAGGAGCCTCCCAACTAATGTAACATTTTAAAGTGCAGTCATTATTTGTTGTTGGCAAGATGAGCAACCAACATGCATACACAACTCCCTGAAAATAGAACATGAGATGAGTAATCAGATGATTTGCTGATTTGTGAATTTGTCTGAAGGTGAAATACTGACTAGCACACCACAAGAACCCCTCCCGCACGTTGGGGTAGTACCTTATGATCTTTAACATCCGCCTAAATGAAATGAACTCAGTTTAATGACATTTTTAAAGACACTGGAGAGGTGACAATATTTGTCTTGAGCAAGTAAGTATTGGAGGAGTTGTTGCCAGCACAAATTGAGCCCAGTGTCATATGCATGAACTCAACCAATTTTGGTGAGTTGGGCTCACTAAAATAAAATTGACAGAACCATATTAAACAAGTGCTAACTGGCACTTCTGACTTAAGGAATTGGTGAAACTTACACAGCAGATCCTTTAAGGATTAATGATATGTCCATTTTACCACAAGTTGCTTTGATTGACCAAAATTGCATCATAGAATATTGAATTTATGGAACTGAGCTCTGTGTTCATCAGCTCCTCCAAGAAACAAACACAAGATTCCTAACCCCGGAACGACAACTTTTCCGCTTCTCTGATGCTGCCTGACCTGCTGTGTTCCTCCAGCTCCACATTGTATTGATGAAGACAAGTTCCTGCCCTGATTGCTATCTAATGTTCTCTCCTGACACTCCACCACAGTACTGAGGGAGCACTGCAGCGCATGACGTGTCATTTTTCAGATGAGAAATGAAGATGACTCCCTGTCCATTCTACCAGGTGGATGTAAAATCTCTTGTGGCACTATTTTGAGGAGAAACCAGGAGTTTACCCCAGTGTGCTGGGTAACCTTCTCCCCGATACCAACATTAATTAAATCAGACTATCTCACTGTTATTATCACCCATGTTCCTGAGAGCTTGCAGTTTCCAAATTGTCTGCTCCAATTCCTACATTACAACAGACTCTGAAATGTACTTAATCAGCTTCAAGGCATTAGGTCATGAAATGAATCATGCCAATATAAATGTAATTTCACATTCATTCCCAAAGTCAATCTGCTGAGAAATACACATTAGTGGAACTCCTGTTTGCCTATTTCACAGCTTACTCTCTTTCCTGACAGGGAGAGATGACCCATACTCGAAACCAAAGAACTGAGATGCCAGTTGGTGTGAAGAAAGGAATAGAAACCCTAAAGCATGTGTAAAAGTATCGGTACAGGGCTTATCCAGGCAACACTATTCTAGTCGCAAGGCTTTTGATTTGTGAGACTATCTAGAGTATATTGGGATCAATGCCTGCATTGTTGACAAATCTGCAGGTTCTATTAATAAGTTAAGCTGTGTCCTCGATCATTGGCTTTGCCATGGAGTATTGTAGACCAAGGTGGGACCAAGGTGGGGTTACTGGGCCTCAGTCTTCTTGGTAGAAACTAGTTTTGTCTCACCTACACCACACTCCAAACCAAAACCCCACTGATCTTCCACCTAAAGAAAGATAGTCACTAGTTGGTCCATGTTTTGTTACTCAATTGGCTAAAAACTGCTTTCGAACATCCTGAGTTCAGGCTTCACTTCAATAGCCACCATATTCAATCAATACAGTGTGACTGGGGTATTCATAAAAACGGAGCGCGGTTGATTCAGTCACTGTGGCACACGGCTACATCTGTCCTCTCTTTATTTGTTCCCTCCATCTAATGTTAACACGACTGTGGAATTATTTTCTACTCACCTGGCAGAACTATCATCAAATGTTGCCATCAAGATGAGGGATCCATCTGGTGCTTTTTTAATAAATTCAATCATTTGTCCTGAATTATCTGTCGATAAATTTAATGACGCCATAAGTACACAGATAACAAACATACTTCAGTTAGCATTTGAGAAGTGCAATTGGGCTAAAGCTGTTGGATGTAGTACAGGGTGTTTGGAATACCGAACAAGCAAGGAAGAAATTAAGGGAGTGAAATTCTCACCCCTATGTCTTCACTCCTCCCTATCTCAGTAACCTCCTGCAATTAGACCATAAGACATAGGAGAAGAATTTAGGCCATTTGGCCCATTAAGTCAGCTCTGCCATTCAATTATGGCTGATAAGTTTCTCAACCCCATTCTCCTGCTTTCTCCCCATAACCTTTGATCCCCTTAACAATCAAGAACCTATCTATCTCTGTCTTAAACATATTCGATGACCTGGCCTCCATAGCCTTCTGTGGCAATGATTTCCAAGATTCACCACCCTCTGGCTGAAGAAGTTTCTCCTCATCTTTGTTCTAAAAGGTCTTCCCGTTACGCTAAGGCTGTGCCCTCGGGTCCTGGTCTCTCCTGCTAACGGAAACATCTTCCCAATGCCCACTCTAACCAGGCCATTCAACGTTCTGTAAGTTTCGATTAGATAGCCTCCTCATCCTTCTAAACTCCATTAAGCATCGACCCAGAGTCCTCAAATGTTCCTCTTATGTTATATTCATTCCTGGAATCATCCTCGTGAACCTCCTCCGGACCCGCTCCAGGCCAGTCGTCCTTCCCGACATATGGGGCCCAAAATTGCACACAATATTCTCATTCCCACTCAGCCTCTCCTCATAAGACAGTCTCTCATACAGGATCAGCCTAATGAACCTCCCTGGACTGCCTCCAATGTCAGTATTCCTTTCCTTAGGTAAGAAGCCCAAAATTCTTCACAATATTCAAGCTGTGGTCTCACTAGGGCCTTGTATAGTTTCAGCAAAATTGCCTATTTTTATACTCTATTCTCATTGAAATATAGGCCAACATTCAGTTTGCCTTTGTGACTACTTGCTGAAATTGGATGCTAAATTATTGTGAGGTATGCACAAGGACTCCCAAATCCCTGTGCCACAGCTTTCTGCAGTCTTCCTCCATTTAATTAATATTCGGCTCCTCCTTCGATGCTTCCTGCATAAACTCACATTTTCTCATATTATGTTCTACCTGACAACTTTTTGCCCACTCGCTTAACATGTCTATATCCATCTACAGACTGTCATTCTCATCGCGTGCCTTCCCACTCATTTTTGTGTCATCCACCAACTTGGCAACAGTAAGTGCACTTATCCAAGTCATTAATTGTAAATAATCCCTCTTCCTGTAATGCATCCCTTAAAACCCGCCTCTTTGAGCAAGCTCTTTGGTCACCTGTGATAAAATTGATTTATGTGGCTGAGTGTCAAATATTGATCAATAAAGCCCCTGTGAAATACTTTTGGGTGTTTTGCAATGTTGAAGATGTTATGTTACCTTATTTTAGTTGTAGGATTCCATCCCCCAGAGTCCACTGGAGGCAGCCTCAGCTGAGTTAGATCAGTTCTTGTTTGACAAGCGAGTCAACAGGTATAGTGGATGGACAGAGAAGTGGAGGTGAGGCCACAGATAGGTGAGCCATTACCTGATCAAATTATGGAACAAGTTCAACTGATCAAATAGCCTACATTCCTAATTCATTCATTTGTCTGTAGTTCAATATACTGCAAGTTGTTAAAATGAAGGAAAATCATCTCAGGAGCAGTCAGAGATGCAGAAATGGTGCAGAATTACTATAGGAGCCTGCTTACATTTCAAAACAGCAGTGTAATGATTAACAAAGCTTAATATCAATGTAAAGATCTCGCGTTCAGCCGTTCCCTTCCTAGCCGAGCTCGGCCCATGCAAAGGTTAAAGTCCATAAATCAACAATAAAATCTGACAGGGTGTAAAAGATTAAAGATGTTCAATACACTTCAAGGCTAAAAAGCTGGCTGGTTCAATATGTGATTCTTGTTCTAATATTCCAATATGATCACGACCTATCAGTGCGTACATTTGCAAAAAACTTTCTTTTATTCATTTGATGGTTGAGGGCATAACTGGCTAGGACAACATATATTGCCCATCCCTAATTACCCAGAAGGCAGTTAAGAGTCAATCATATTTCTATGGGTCTGGAGTCACATATCAGCCAGACCAGGTAAGGATGGTAGTTTCTTTCCCTAAAGGACATTAGTGAACCAGATGGGTTTTTTTTTTAAATTGACAGTGGATTCATGGTCATCATAGACACTTAATTCCAAATTTTTAAAAATAAATTCAAATTCTACCAACTGCCATGGTGGGATTCAAACCCAGGTCCCCAAAATGTTACCTGGGTCTCTGGATTAACAGCCCAGCGATAATACCACTAGGCCATGTCCTCCCAGACTCTGATGAATCACAGAATTATACAACATAAAAGGAAGCCACACAGTCCTTCATGTCTGTGCTGGAACTTTGAAAGAACTGTTTAGTCACACTCCAATTGCTTTTCCTATAGCACAAAAGTACCCCACCTTGTGACAAATGGAATGCTTAGGCCTTCAGAATATAACAGCCCACTCTCAAAACCTTCCTTTCTACCTTTGAGAAGGAGATCACATGGCATTCCTAGCTGTCCTTTCTTGTCCCTGGATATATGCCATCCTTTCACCTTCCTATCATTATCCTTCCAGGGTTTGTGAGGGTGACAGACAGAGGGTTCATGACAGTCTCGCTGTGCATTATATTTTGGAGGCACGTTATATTCAGAAAATTATGTAATTTCAGAAAACAAACTCCCAGAGTTCCTAACAAGTGTTTTAAATGCTGCTTCTGCCATTTCATTGGAATTTCCCTGATCCCAAATAAAAAGTTGCTGCGGGCCAGCAGGATAATCCTTATCAGAGATACAACCCTAGTGTATAAGTCATACGTGGCATCTAACTGTACAGAGGTGAATACAGTAGGTTGAAGCAGAGACTATGAGGAAACGTACTCCCTTAAAATGTCTTTCTTACCTCCACCCCATAGATCAAAACATCCGGCATTCACGAATTTTCCTGTCTTGGCTGTCAAGAAGAAACAAAAAAAAAAATCTGATCTGTATGATGGAGAACATTGTTTTCAAATATTGTTACTTGTAAGAGAAAGCAAAGGGATTGGATATGGCTCAGTTATCCTGAGTTATTTGACCCTGTCAAATATAACTCTTTCCTGTCTGCATGTAGGAGCCTGGAATGACCTAATTTTCAGTGGATGGTTTTTCCAAACCATTGTTCGGTTAAAGAATTGCCTGGCTTTTGCAAAACGGTAAGCGCCTTTATTTACCTCCTCAAATCAACAGTAATGTCAAGTTGAGCTGATGATGAGGGAAATGTAAGCCCTCCCTCCTCACCTCCTTTCCTGGATAAAAAACATCAAGGACACAGTGTTCTTACTTGGGAGATATCGCTGGGAATGTCTACGTAATAGTTCAGGAACTTCCAGAATGACACCAGTGAAATGTTGCAGAAGGCAACCATTCGGCCCATCATGACTGCAGCAGCTGTTCAAATGAGCATCATCACCAAGTGCCAATCTCCTGCTTTGTCCCTCATTATATGTTACTTAATATTACTTGTGGTATTACTTTAAAAAAAGATACATTTGTTGAAGGTTTTTTCTTGCATCATCAGGACATTTTGCAAGAATACCAATTCAAGGAGAAAACCAGCATTTATTCTGCGTGAGAGGAGAGTGCTGATTGGTTAGTAAGTAAATTCTCTAACCTGAGTTTGTTAGTCAGTATATACTCTTCTCCCTTATCCACCAGACTGCTGCTGTACAGGATTCAGTGAAAACACCATTGTGCAAAGTAATTTTAATCAATATTTCCACCACCAGGTAGTATCCCACTGCTAGAGATGGCACAGTGGCTGGCACTGCTGCCTCACAGCGCCAGGGACCGAGGTTCAATTCCATCCTCAGGTGATTGTCTGTGTGGAGTTTGCACATTCTCTCCATGTTTGCATGGGTTTCCTCCGGGTGCTCCGGTTTCCTCCCACAGTCCAAAGATGTGCAGGCTAGGTGGATTGGCCATGGGAAACTGCCTGTAGTGTCCAAGGATGTTTAGGTTAGGTTAGGTGGGTTAGACATGGGGAAATGCAGGGGTAGGGGAATGAGTCAGGATGGGATGCTCTTCAGAGGTCCAGTGTGGACTTGTTGGGCCGAATGGCCTGTTTCCACACTGTAGGGATTCTATGACTCTGGCAACAGTATGACGTCTTGGGTCCCAGAACTTGCTGCACCTCTAGCCAAGCCATTCTGGTATAGCTACAACACTGGCGTCTACCCAACAATGTGGAAAGTTGTCTACTTACTTCCTTGTGCACAAAAAGCAGGACAAATCCAAGTGATCAATTATCAACCCTGAATCTAATTTCATAAGAAACAGCATTAAGCAACATTTGGTTAGCAACAACCTGCTCAGTCTAGGGCCTGGCACGGCCACTCTGGTCCTGACCTCATTGCAACTTTGGTTCAAGCACGGGCAAGACAGCTGAATTCCAGAGGTGAGCTCAGAGTGACTACCCTTGACATCAAGGCTACATTTAACTAAGTGTGGCATCAAGGAGCCTGAGCAAAACTAAAGTCAATGGGAATCAGGGAAAACTCTCCACTGTTTGGAGTCATACTTGCCACAAAGGAAAAATTATTGAGGTTGTTGAAGATTAGTCATCTCAGCTTGAGGACACCTTCAAATACTTCATCGATGAACTTCCTGCCATCATGAGGCAAGAAGTGTGGATGTTTGCCAATGATTGCACAATGTCTAGCACCATTTGTGACTTCACAGACACAGAGGATTGTAAGAATACTACCATAACTTCATTCACTACATCAGAATGCCTTGCCTATCACCATTGTGGGCACATAGAATCATAGAATTCCTACAGTGTGAAACAAGCCATTCAGCCCAACAAGTGCACACTGACTCTCCAAAGAGGATCCCTCCCAGGCTCACCCATCTATCCTATCCCTGTAGCCCCGCACTTTACATGGTTAATCTACACATCCCTGGACACTATGGTCAATTTAGCACAGCCAAACCACCTAAACCCTGCGCATCTTTGGACATCCAGAATCTCCAACCAATGGAAATAGTTTATCTTATTTTACCTTGTGTTTTCCTATTAATAACTTGTAAACGGCAATCAGATCATGCCTTAATCTTCCACATGCTAGTGAATACAGGCAAAATTTGTATAGTTCCTCCTCATAATTTAACCACTGAATCATTCTTGTAAAGGCCAATATATCCTTCCTCAGGTGTGGTGCCCAGATCTGTTCTAGCAGGGTATAACTAGGATTTTGTACAGTTACAGCATAATTTCTGTGCCCTTCTGTGTCCAAGTGGATTGAGATGAGTGGACAAGGAGAACCACGACTTCGACTGGGACAACACCAAGATCCTGGGACAGGCTAGGCAGAGACAAGCACGAGAATTCCTGGAAGCATGGCACTCCACAAAGCATGCTATTAATAAACACATTGAACTCAACCCCATATACATTCAACTACGGAGGAAACCCGGAAGTGAGGCAATCCATCGCAACGGACCCCAGAGTTTAAAAACCAGGTGGGAAAAACACACCGACGCTTCATCAGAGGCTACACTGAGGATGTTACCAAGCACAGTAACGAAACGTCTGCGGAACAACAAACCAGCTCGGCGAGCCAACCAACCTCAACACCCACAACCCGAGCTACAGATCTCCTCCAAAACCTTAGATCTTATGTTATTAGGTTGCCTTATACACAGTGCCTTCTTGAATGTCTTTTGGAAGTCCAAATGTATTACATCTACTGATTTTCTTTTATCTATCCTGCTTGTATCTCCTCAAAGAATTTGTTAGGCATCAGTTCGCTTTCATGAAGCCATACTAACCTTTGCTTGATTGTATTAAGCATTTCTAAATGCTCTACTGTTATACCTTTTATAATAGTCTGACTTTTCCTAATGATAGACGTTAAGCTAGCTGGTCTATAGTTTACCTTTCATTTTTCTCCCTCCCTTTTTCAGTAAGGACAGTACATTGGCAGTTTTCCAATGCTCTGGGACTTTTCCATAATGTAAGGATTCTTGGAAGATTCCGAACAGTGCTCCATTATCTCTGCAGCTACCTCCTTTAAAATCCTAGAAGCTAACCCATCAGGTCTAGGCTTTGGCCTCAATAGTTGTCCTAGTATTCTTCCCTAGTAATCGTTAATTATTTCCCTCCCCTCACTCCCACTTTAGCCCCTTGATTTGTTGACACTTTTGGAATGCTATTAGTGTCATCTACTACAAAGACTGGGAAAGTATTTGTGCAACTCTTCTGGCATTTCCTAGATCCCTATTATTAGCTCCCCAGCCTTTTTCTCTAAGGTGTTCACCGTTGTCTTTTTCTTCCCTTTCATATACTTAAAGAAACTCTTATTGTCAGTTTTTATGTTACTTGCTAGTTCACCTTCATAATTTATTTTCTCTCTTTTCTTTCTTGGTCGTTTTTGTTGCCTTTTAAAACTTTCTCAATCTTCTGATTTCCCACTTATCTTTGCCACATGGAATTTTTTTTTCTTTCAATTTGATACTGCCCTTAACTTCTCTAGGTAATAATGGTTGGTTTATTTCCTTCCCAATCTATGAGTATATTGCCCAAAAATAGAGAATTTCAGCTGTCAGGAAAGACTGGGATAGGCTGGTAACACAGCTTGGAGTTGCAGGAGCACAGCAGCTCTGCCAGAAATGCCCCATTTCTTAAGAAGGATCCTGACCAGAAAAGTCAACTTTCCTGCTCCTCTGATGCTGCCTGGCCTGCTGTGCTCCTCCAGCTCCACACTGTGTTATCTCTGACTCCAGCATCGGCAGTTTTTTTACTATCTCTGGGATAGGCTGGTGCTACTTTCTAAGAGACTTAGCTACAGGGAGGGAACTAGTTCCCTTAGCAAGCAGGTCAATAACCAAGGGGCACGAATTTCAAGTCATTGCTGGAAAGATTACAAAGGAATTGAGAGGTACTTCCTTTCACCCACATGGAGTCCTCAGCGAACTCCTCAGCGAATCCCTACAGTGTGGAAACAAGTCCACACCGAACCTCACAGCATCCCACCCAGACCCATCCCCCTATAACCCACCTAATCTGCACATCCCTGAACTCTATGGGCAATTTATCATGGTCAATCCCCTTAGCCTGATGGAAGGATCTGGATCTCATCACCTGAGAGGGTGAGAGATAGAAATTGTCATCTTTAAAAATTACTTGGATGTGCATTTGAATAACCACAATCTATAGGGCTTCTCAGATCAAGAGCTGGAAAGAGGGATTAGGTTGTCAAGTTTTCCATCTGGCACAGTCAATGATGGGCTGAATGGCTTCCTTCTCTAATGTAAATTCTCTCTGCCTCTATAACTAAAATTACTTTTGTGGGACATTGGAGTGAAACTTGCATTACCAGTTTGAAAAGGAAATAAATTTCTTCCAGTGCAGCAGCATGAATGCAAACTTTCAAAGATCCATCAGTGAAAAGGTGAGGAAAGGAAAGAAGCACTCTTTTTACCGGACCATACCAGTGTTCAGCTAAACTCCAGTCATACAATACAACAAAAATAATTTTCTTTACCTGTTTTGAAAATAATCTGAATTCAATTTTCACACTCCACATTTTATTTAGCTAGTTTAATAATACTAAACAACAGAAAGAAAATGTAAAATAAAAAATGATGGAGGTGTTTGAAAGTGTACATGCAGTTTGTTGACAAGAAGATGGGTAGGGCTGAAAGGAGCCTGTCATAAGATATGGAACTTGCCAGTTCTTCATATTAGTAATGTGGTGAGAAGGCTACAAGTCACGGTAGAATTTCACAAGTTCCTGAGTTCATTGAAATGTTATCCAAAATATATGAGCTAACGTAGACTAACTGGTGCCATTATCTTTTGCAAATGAGAGATGCTGGTTTGTCATTAACTGAAAGTAATAGATGGTTAATACTGAAAATGTATGATGTGGTTTCTGATGTCATATGTTCTACAAACAGGGTCCTGGGTCATGTAGGCAGGAAATCCATTTTGTAATTTTTGAGGTACTGAGTTTACAAAATTACATTAAATTAAACAGAGGAAAGAAAGGCACAAAGTGCCAAACATCTTTTATTGTGTACTGAAAATACAGAATAACTCATTTCTATTCATTTAAGTTTCCCAAAGAAAGAAAGCAGTATTCATCCAGCAGCACCTCAAGGAGAAGATCGTCCTCCCACAAGCTCATGGCAATTAAGAACACGGCAAATAAATATTCCACAGTGCGGTTATCACTTTTGGGAGACTGAGGTACATTATTGGGAGGCAGCCTGTTTTTGCTCCAGAGCATCATGTAGCTGGTTCTGCAGTATAGAATGCTAGTGACTGGAGCCAACATAAACATTTGTTCAATATCCTAGTGCTAATGTCCCTTGACTATAAGTCGGCAGATACTTCACACTGTAACATTTTAATTCACCTCATCCGTTTTAAATAGAATCTTACCTTCCACGATGGCAATATTCATGCCCCTGCCAAAGTTATTCTTCACACCACCCAGAAGGCTGTTTAAAAATATATTAAAAAATGAGTTGATTTTAGTAACTAAAATTGCCATTTTAATTTATAAATCTTATGGTAGAAAGACTATAAAGTTAAATTGTGCGCAAGTTGCATTGATTAATCTTATATTGCCAAGAATATAGAAAATTAAGAGGTAATCTAGTCAACATGTTTGAAACAAATCAACACGTGTGTAGAAACCATTTCCTGTGATGGGTAGTTCTGAATCACAGGGTATAACAAATTAAAAGCCTGGCCATTCAGGGACGATGTCAACAAATAGTTCTTGTGGAAATATTAGTGGAAATCAGAAACTTTATCCCTAAAAGATTGCTAATATTGTCATGACTATCAATTTTATTTTTAATACCTGCAACATTCATAGACTCACATTGTTGAAAAAAAATGAAATATGGACCTAAAAGAGCTGCAGTGATCAAATGACCACATATTGAGGCAAATGGATCAGGCTACAAGATCTAGGAGTAAAATTAGACCATTCGACCCATTGAGTCTCATTTGATCGTGGTTGATATGTTTCTCAACCCTATTCTCCTGCTTTCTCCCCATAACCCTTAATCACCTTACCAATCAAGAACCTGTATATCCCTGTCTTAAGTACATTCAACGACTTAGCTTCCATAACCATCTCCGGCAATGAGTTCCACAGAATCACCACCCTCTGGCTAAAGAAATACCTCCTCAATTCAGTTCTAAAGGGTTGGCCCTTCACTCTGGGGCAGTGCCTTTGGTTCCTAGTCTCTCCTACTAGTGGAAACATCTTCTCCACATCCACTCTATTCAGGCCTCTCAGTATTCTGTAAGTTTCATTCAGCTCACCTCCCATCCTTCTAAACTTCATTGAGTACAGATCCAGAGTCCTCCGACACTCTTCATATGAACAGCCCTTCATTGCCAGGATCATTCTTGTAAATATCTTCTGAACCATAATTTTATTTCATTTCTTCCTAGCCCTTTCAGTAGGATGTGTATCCTTGGATATTTAGTTCGCAACACTGATCCCCTTGCACCCACGTCTCTGTGATACTCACAACATCGGACATGCCAATTCCAAACTGTGCTACAAGCTCATTTACCTTGTTTCATATGGTGTGTTTATTTAAGTACAACACCCTCAGTCCTGCTGTCTTGACTGATTGACTGTCTCTCTCTTCTCAGTGTCCCTTATCTGCTGTGCCTGAAGTTAGATTCCTGAGCGTTTCCAAACTCTCTAACCTATAACTTGTTCTGGAAACTGTAGTAACCTCTGCTGAGCCTTCCCAATACTTCAACTTTTTCCATAATTTTCCACACAACTGAGATTATTACCGTTTTGGTTCTGCTTTCTAATTTAGCTCCAAGATACTCACATTCCCTCAGCAGAACCTCTTTCTTCTTTCTACCTGTAACATTGGTATCTACATGGATCACAACAACTGGATCTTTCCCTTCCCACTCCAAGTTCCTCTGCAACCCAGATGAGATATCTTGAACCTGGGCACCAGGCAGGCAACACATCCTTCAGAACTCCTGATCTTGGCCACAGAGAATAGTGTCTATTACCCTGATTGTACTATCCCTGATTACAACTACATTTTCCTTTTCTGCTCCCTTTTGAATGGCTCCCTGTACCATGGTGCTATGGTCAGTTTGCTCATCCTTCCTATAGCCACACTCCCACACGCTCCCCCCCACCCACTCTCACCCACACAGGGAGCAAGAATCTCAAACCTGTTGGACAAGCTCAAGGGCTGAGGCTCCTTCAGCACCATCTCCTGGATCACTCTACCTGCCTTGCTCAGAGTCATACTCTCCAATCCCTGACTGAATTCAAGATAGTTCCAGGTAACATTTCCCCCTCCTTGATGTGTCAACAGTGTTTGGAGCTCAGGCTCCAGCTCAAAATCTCTGAGCCAGAGTTCCTCAAGTAACCAACACTTGCTACAGACTATAAACCACGATGGGGTCCATCAACTCCCACATTATGCAGGTACAATACCTTACTTGGCCCAAGATCTTTATTTTAATTACTTAGTTCTTAATTTGATTTTTAACATTTCTTATTGGTCCTTTAGGTGTTACCCATTCCACCTGTTTATCAACAATCTGAACATAATCTATAATATAGTCAAGTTAGTAGCTATCATCAACCAATGAACTTATGGTTTTATCTTTGATGTGCTCTGAGGTAACTTTCTTTGTATGACATTAAAATTAGTGGTGTAATGGACAGCAATCACAGAATCCCTACAATGTCAAAGCAGGCCATTCAGCCCATTGAGTACACACCTACCTCTGAAGAGTATCCCACCTAGACCGACCCCATCCCTGTAACCCTGTATTTCCCACAGCTAATCCACCTAGTCTGTACAACCCTGGACACTATGAGCAACTTCCCACAGCCAATCCACCTAGCCGACACATCTTTGGACTGTGGGAGGAAACTGGAGCACCCACAGGAACCCACACAGACACAGGGAGAAAATCCAATCTCAACACAGACAGTCGCCCAAACCAGGGATCGAACCCAGGTCCCTGGTGTTGTGAAGCAGCAGTGGTAACTACTGAGTCACCGTGCTACCCTGATTTCAGCCATGATAACTAAAGTAACTGCTAAATCTTGAAAATAATACAGCAAGGATGCAATATTCCTTCTATCTACTAATTGTTTCACATATTGGTTTTCCAGAGGCAACGGACAATGGGGTAGGCCAATGGAGCATTTATTCATTTTATATTTTTTTGCCATACAGTAATCTCTTCCAGCTCAGATACAGCAAATAGGCAAAACAGAAAAAAAGTTCCTCATATTGTTCCAACGAATAATCCTCTACTTCACCTTCACGCCACTCCTTATTAACTGCTATGCTTTGTTTCCATAACTAAGAGTCACCTCCATCCTGATCTTGTCAACAAGGCCTTGTAAATTAGCCACTCACAGCTGAACTGATCCACTCTGCTCAAGGACCAATCCTGCAAACTTACTAACCGTACTTCCTATATTCATATCCATATGATTTATATAAATGACAAAAAGCAGTGGACCCAGCTTTTTGTGGCACACTGCTGGTCACAGGCCTCTAGTCTAAAAAGCAACCCTCCACCACCACCCACTGTCCCCTACCTTTGAGCCAATTTTGTATCAAAATGGCTAGTTATTCCTGTATTCCATGTGAACTAACCTTGGTAACCAAACTACCATGAGGAACCTTGTCGAATGCCTTGCTGAGGTCCATATAGACAACTTCCACCGCTCTGCCTTCATCAATCTTCTTCATCACTTCTTCATAAAATTCAATTAAGTTAGTGAGGTACAATTTCCCACGCACAAAGTCATGTTGGCTATCCCTAATCAGTCCTTGCCTTTCCAAATACATGTAAATCCTGTCCTTCAGAATCCCTTCCAACAACATACCCAACCACTGGAGTCAGTGGTTTTTCCTTACCACGTTTCTTAAACAATGGCACCACATTAGCCAACCTCCAGTCTTCCAGCACCTCACCAATGGCTAACGATGATACAAATATCTCAGCAAGGGGCCCCAACAATCACTTCCCTCGCTTCCCACAAAGTTCCGGGATTCACCTGATCAGGTCCTGGGGATTTATCCGTCTTTATGCATTTTACGATGTCTAGCACCTCCTCCTCTGTAATATGGACACTTTTCAAAATATCATTATTTATTTCTCCAAGTTCTCTAAGTTCCATATATTTCTCCACAGTAAACACTGATGTAAAATACTTGTTTAGTATCTTGTCCATCTCCTGCAGTTCCACACACAATCTCATTGATCTTTAAGGGGCCCTATTCTCTCCCTAGTTACTCTTTCGTCCTTAATGTATTTTTAGAATCTCCTCAGATCCTCTTTAACTCTTTGTCAAAGCTATCTCATGTCCCCTTTTTGCCTTCCTGATTTCCCTCTTAAGTACATTCCTACTGCCTTTATACTATTCTAGGGATTCACTCGATCTCAGCTGTCTTTACCTGATATATGCCTCCTTGCCTTTTTTGATCGGAGCCTCAATTTCTCTGGTCATCAAGCATTCCGTACACCTACCAGCCTTGCCCTTTGCCTGAACAAGAACATACTGTCTTTGGACTCTCGTTATCTTATTTTTGAAGGTCTCCCACTTTCTAGCCATCCCTTTACCTGTAAACAGCTGCTCCCAATCAACTTTTGAAAGTTCTTGCCTAAATACATCAAAATTGATGTTCCTCTAGTTTAGAACTTTAACTTCTAGATCAGGTCTATCATTTTCCATAACTATTTTAAAACTAATAGAATTATGATCACTGGCACCAAAGTGTTGCCCCACTGACACCCCAGCAACTTGCCCTGCCTTATTTCCCCAAGAGAAGATCAAGTTTTATTCCTTCTCTAGTATGTACATCCATGTACTGAATAAGAAAATTTCCTTAACAAATTCCTCTCTATCCAAGCCCTTAACACGATGGCAGTCCTAATCTATATCTGGACAGAGCTGAAGTGAGCCAAGATGACTCCCACTAGTTAAGCTGTAATAGTAATTAATACCTAGTAAGAGATAGTAAGAACTGCCAATGCTGGAGTCAGAGGTAACACAGTGTGGAGCTAAAGGAACACAGCAGGCCAGGCAACATCAGAGGAGCGGGAAAGCATTTTCTGAAGAAGGGTCCCGACCCAAAACGTCAGCTTTTCTGCTCCTCTGATGCTGCCGGGCCTGCTGTGTTCCTCCAGCTCCACACTGTGTTAACACCTAGTAAGGTTCTATTGAGGCTTCAAGTGATTGACTGATAAATATCCCTTAGTCAGCTGAGTCAGCGACCTTTTGCTAGTTGACTGATTTTAAATTTTTAAAACGGAGACTGAAAAGGAAGATTTACCAGTTCTATTCCCACGCTGTTTCCAAATTCCCCAAACTATATACTCACTCAGACAGTGTCTCACTCTGGCTGTGATCTCTCCTTCCTAACCACGTGCAACTTAGTGCAGGAAGTCAGTATGAAATAAAACCAACCATCTGAACTGAAACTACCAATTTACCTAAAGACATTGAAAGCAGTCAACTGAGTTGGGCATCAAGAAACTTGCAGACTGTGTTTTAATTTCCACTCATGGGTAGGTTTTATACATTAGACATAAATTGTTTTCTGCAACTGTCCAGCTGTGAAAGTCAATTAAACCAGACTTGGAAAACTCAAACTAACCATATTTCAGTAGTTGCCTAGTACAGCAGCAGAGAGAAAAAAAAAATTGGGGGGGTAACAGCAACGACTGAAAGATTTCTATCTTTTTGGCCTCTTCTCATCATCTCAAAAACGACCACTGGTGACATAACAAATCAGAAAAATATCTATTCACTGAGAGTGTAAGTGTTCTACAGATTTTGCTACTAATGAGGATACAAGACCATTAAATAAACAGTCATGGTCTCTGGTCCAACTATGACAACTCAAGGACTCTAAAAATTTTCTAAACTGCCTATTCTTGATTTTGCTTTTTCTACCAAACACTCTCTCTCCTTTCTAAACTTTTCTAAACTTTATACCTATTTTAGTGTGTGGTTGATTTTACAACGTTAGTAAGTTAGAAAATTATTCTTTCTTTCTCTCAAGGAAGTGGCCCCTTAATTTTTGCTTAGTGAAAGGAATTAAAACTACTTGTTGCAAACAACCAAGATTAATAAAAAGAGGGCATCGGGTATACGCCTTCTCAACTGGTTATAAAAATATTGCACCCATTGAAAATATTTTGTTAGTTAAGGTATTATGGCATGGACACAGACTGCCAAATCAAATCAGCCTCCCTACCTCTGTATTTGCAACACAATAAAATTAAAGCATTCAATGACCCTCAAAATTGCCCCAATGGTTCCTAAGACTTTTTGAATAACTAATACCAGACACCAAGTTTATTGCTCAACTAAAAGAATTAACAATTTATTATTAACACAGTAGATTTCCTTGAGCAACTTTGATCACGGGATCGCAATCAAAAGTAGAAAGGAATTAATGGTACTCACATTTCATCTTCAAAACAAATTTTGGGAGGATTGGTTTTCTCAGCACCACTCAGCACTGTGAAAGCAAATGTTCCCGTAGGACATGGATTCCAATGACCACATTTTTGGTGTTTTGGAGCAGGTACTGAAAATATTATAAGTAGTTAAAATAAGTTACAATTACACTTTAAAAAAAAAATCACTTTTCTAAAATGAAGCTTTTTATAAAATATTGTCTCTAGGCAGTTGCTGGCTCTTATTAGGAAATAGTCTACAGTTAGCTAACAATATATTTTTTATGTCAATATTCATGGGCTTAACTTTTCACAAAGCACTATACAGACAATGAAGTACTTCTAAAATGCAGTTACTGTTTGTAATGTAGAAAACAGGATAGATGATTTGGATATAGTTGGATCCTGCAAATATTGATAAATTATTGACTAATTTATTCAGGGATAAATATCAGGCAAGACACAGGATTGGGGGAATTGCCCCTATGCTCCTTGAGTCTTTTAAGATCCGTTGAAAGAGCTCTGTTTTAACGTCTCATGTGTAGTGTGCCACCTCTAGTAGGGGAGCATTGCACTGTTGGCTCAATATTTGTCACTGGAGTAATGGAAAGATGACAATAATAATGGTTTTATAGAGCCATCTCTTCAAATAGATAATCCTCAGAAAGTACATGTAATGGAATTAAAAACAGCCTACCCCCCACTCCTCCAAAAAGGAAAGAATTTCATAATTAGAAGCCAGGTGTACGTGAGTAAAGAAATGGTAATGACAAATTTAAATAAAGTAATGGTTCATTTGAATAGAATTACATATGCAGTTTGGGGCAAGAAAGGATTTTAAAGCATGGAGATTATTGGAGCATAGGATTGTCAAGGTAAAGCCAGGAAGGAAAGCTAGACCTGTGAGCAGAGATGTGATAGACTGAAAAAAATTCCCATCAGAGGCGAAAAGGCCAACAGTAGATTTCGTCAAATTTTTTAAATGTTATGAGTTTGATAGGAAATGACTATTTCCTTTAGACAATGATGAGATCTTTTTAATTGTCACAACGAGAATAAGGAGAGCGGTATGAGATGTAGAGATAACTCAAATGTAACTGTTTGTCACAGAAAACGCCCAAGGCTGATATTGTTCCTTTATAGTCCTTTCCAGATTTTCTCAGCATCAATATTATTTTAATTTCCAGTTGATTGGCAGCTGAGAGTGGGGTAAAAAATAGCTTGTTTCAAGGGACTGTTGTCAGAGAGAGGAGCAGCCGAAGGAACCGAAACCTAACTGGAAAGGTGACGTCACAGGAGAGCTGTGACCTGATTGACTGGTAGGAAATCTGCCCTAAATTTACAAAGGACATTCCAGAACTAATTAATCAATTAACTAACAATTAATTAACTAACAACTAACTTAATTAACCAAGTAGAGATGGCTGGGCAGGTGACGGGCTATAGCTGTATGACAAGGGGAGGCATTGGCCTAGTGATTTTATTGTTAGACTGTTAATCCAGAGACCCAGATAACTTTCCAGGGACCTGAGTTCAAATCCCTCCATAGCAAATTGGAACTAAGAATCTAACAATGACCGTGAATCCATTATCAATTGTTGGAAAAACCCATCTGCCCTTTAGGGAAGGAAATTGCCATCCTCACCTGGTCTGGCCTACATGACTCGATAATTAGGGGGAGTGACAGCATCCTTTTTAAGCAGGTTCGAGAGTCCAACATGGTGTGTTGCCTGCCTGGTGCCAGGGTGAGGGACATCTCTGACCGGCTTGAAAGGAAATTGGGGCGGGAAGGTGAGGATCCAGTTCTCTGGTCCACATTGGGACAAACAACATTGGCAAGGCTAGGAAGGAGGACCTGTTTGGCGATTATCAAGCATTAGGAATGAAATTAAGGAACAAGTCCTCAAGGGTTATAATCTCCGGATTACTACCTGAGCCACATGCATATTGGCATATGGATAGGAAAATTAGGGAAGTAAACACGTGGCTAAAGGAGTGGTGTGGGAAAGAGGCATCGGCATCAGTTTTGGAACAGAAGGGATCTGTACCATTGGGACGGTCTCCAACAGAACCGAGCTGGGACCAATGTTCAACCAAAAAGGATGAATAAGGTAGCCATTAGGACTTTAAACTAGTGAAATGGGTGGAAGTGAAGGGGAAAATGACAGGAAGTATAATGGTAAATAGGAAAGGAAACAGCAGGTTAACTTTTATGCAGGAGGACTATGAAGGAAGTCAACAGGAAGAAATCAAGAGGAAGGAAAACTCTGGAGATGTTATTAATGGAGATGTTAGAATTCAAGAAGAAGGTATAAAAACTAACATAAAGGCACTTTATGACTCCATCCCATTCTCTCAGTTCCTCCGTCTCCGTCGCATATGTTCAGATGAGGCCAACTTCGACAGGGAGCCTCCGAAATGTCCACATTCTTCCTCAACCGAGGATTCCCCAGCTCCGTTGTCGACAGGGCCCTCAATCGGGTCTGACCCATCTCCCGCACTTCTGCCCTCACCCCTTCTCTTCCTTCCCGCAACAGCAATAGGGTTCCCCTTATCCTCACCTACCATCCCACCAGCATCCACATCCAGAAGATCATCAGACGCCATTTCCACCACCTCCAGCAAGATGCCACCACCAGACACATATTCCCCTCCCCTCCCTGGTCTGCCTTCTGCAGGGACCGTTCCCTCCGGGACACCCTGGTCCACACTTCCTTCACCCCCAACACCTGCCCACAGCCCTACGGCTCCTTCCCCTGTAACCGGCGAAGGTGCAACACCTGCCTATTTACCTCCTTCCTCCCCACTATCCAAGGACCCAAACATACCTTCCAGGTGAAGCTACACTTCCCAGAATCTAGTCTACTGCATTCGCTGCTCACAATGTGGTCTCCTCTACATTGGGGAAACAAAGCGTAGTCTTGGCGACCGTTTCGCAGAACATCTACGTTCTGCTCGCAAAAAAGACCCTGAACTACCTGTTGCCTGCCACTTCAATGCACCGCCTTGCTCCCTGGCCAACATCTCTGTCTCTGGCTTGCTACAGTGTTCCAGTGAAGCCCAATGCAAGCTGGAGGAACAACACCTCATTTTCCACTTGGGGACCCTACAGCCCTCTGGACTCAACATTGAGTTCAATAATTTTAGGGCCTAAACTCTCCCATGTCCCAGCCCCCCACCCCACACACCAGGCCTTGTTACCACATAGCCTGCCATTACACATCCTCTGTTGTTAGTCACTAACAGTGCCCATTAACACCTATTCACCCTCCCAGCCTGATCGTTAGCAACTCCTTTGTCTGTCCAACTGTCTTTGTCTCTCTTTGGGCTCTATCCTATCGTTTACTCCCTACCCCAGGCCCTCCCTATTTTCTGCATATAAACTGACGTTTTCCCAGCCACCATCAGTTCTGAGGATGGGTCACCGGACCCGAAATGTTAACTCTGTTTTCTCCTCCACAGATGCTGCCAGACCTGCTGAGCTTTTCCAGCAACTTTGTTTTTGTTCCTGATTTACAGCATCTGCAGTTCTTTTGTTTTGTATAAAGGCACTTTACCTGAGTGCTCGTAGCATTCGAAACAAGGTAGATGAGTTAACAGCACAAATCATCGCGGATGAGTATGATTTAGTGGCCATTACAGAGACATGGTTGTAAGATTGGTGGCGACTGGGAGTTAAATATCCAGGGGTATCAGACTATTCGGAAGGACAGGCAGGAAGGTTAGGGAGGTGGTATTGCTTTGATATTTAAGGACGACATCAGGGGAGTAATGAGAGATGATACAGGTTCAATGGAGAATAAGATTGAATTCATTTGGGTGGAAATGAGAAATTCTAAGGAGAAAAAGTCACTGATAGGCGTACTCTATAGACCACCAAATAATAACATCACATTGGGGTGGGCAATAAACAAAAAAGTAAGTAATGCCTATAAAAATGGTACAGCAATTATAATGGGTGATTTTAATCTATGTGCCGATTGGTCAAACCAGGTCAGTTTTGAGGAAAAGTTCATTAATGTATCTGCAGTAGCTTTCTTGAACAGTATGTAATGGAACCAATGAGGGAGCAAGCCATCCTAGATCTGGTCCTGTGTAGTGAGACAGGAATAATTAATGGTCTCATAGTTAGGGATTCTCTCGGAAGGAGCAATCACAGTATGTTTAAATTTAGAATACAGATGGAAAGTGAGGAGATAAAATCCAATACCAGGGTCCCATGCTTAAACAAAAGAGACTACAATAGTATGAGGGAGGAGTTGGCTGAAGTAGACTGAAAGCAAAGACTCGATGGTGGAACAGTTGAGGAACAGTGGAGGACTTTCAAAGCAATTTTTCGAAGTACTTAACAAAATTATATACCAGCGAAAAGAAAGGACTGTAAGAAAAGAGTCATGGATGTCTAAGGAAATAAGGGAGGCTATCAATTGAAAGATAAGGCATACAACGTTGCAAAGACCAGAGGGAAACTGGAAGACTGGGAAATTTTAAAGGTGAACAGAGAGCCACAAAAAAGGCTGTAAAGAAAAGTAAGATAGATTATGAGGCTAAACTAGCTCAGAATATAAAGACAGATAGCAAAAGTTTCTATAAATATAAAAATGAAAAAGAGTGCTAAGGTAAACATTGGTCCTTTAGAGGATGAGAAGGGGGATTTAATAATGGGAAATGATGAAATAGCCAAAACATTGAACAGGTATTTTGTGTCGGTCTTCACAGTGGAGGACATGAACAACTTGCCAGTAGTTGACAACAAGGAGACTAACGTAGGTGAGGACCTAGACATGATCATTATCACTAAAGAGGTAGTGTTGGCTAAGCTAATGGAGCTAAAGATAGACAAGTCTCCTGGCCCTGATAGAATGCATCCAAAGGTACTAAAAGAGGTGGCAGGAGTAATAGCAAATGCACTTGTGGTAATTTTCCAAAATTTGCGGACTCTGGGGCAGTTCCAGCAGATTGGAAAATAGCCAAAGTCATGTCACTGTTCAAAAAAAGAGGTAGACAAAAGATGAGGACTAATAGCTTAACTTCTGTAGTGGAGAAATTGCTTGAATCTATCATCAAGGAAGAAATAGCAAGACATCTAGATAGAAATTGTCCCATTGGGTGGATGCAGCATGGGTTCATGAAAGGCAGGTCATGCTTGACTAATTTTCTGGAATTCTATCAAGACATTACGAGCAAGGTGGACAACAGAGACCCAGTAGATATAGTGTATCTGGATTTCCAAAAAGCATTCGACAAGGTGCCGCACAAAAGGGGCTGCTCCATAAGATAAAGGTGCATGGTGTTACAGGCAATGTATTAGCATGGATCAAGGATTGGTTAACTAACAGGAAGCAAAGATTGGGGTTAAATGAGTGCTTTTTGGTTGGCGAACAGTGACTAGTGGTGTGTATCAGGGATCAGTGTTGGGGCTGCAATTGTTTACAATTTACATAGATGATTTGAAATTGGGGACCGGATGTAGTGTATCAAAGTTTGAGGATGATACTAAGATGAGTGGTAGAGCAAAGTGTACAGAGGATTCCGAAAGTTTGCAGAGGGATATAGATAGTTTAAGTGAGTGGGTGAAGGTCTGGCAGATGGAGTACAATGTTACTAAATGTGAAGTCATCCATTTTGGTAGGAATAACAGTAAATGGATACAGTAAAAAACAATAAAAAGTGAACAGTAAAAAATTGCAGCATGCTGCTTTGCAGAGGGACCTCGGTGCCATTGTGCATGAATCACAGAAGGTTGGTTGCAGGTACAACAGAAGACAAACGGAATTTTGTTCTTCTTTGCTAGAGGGATTGAGTTTAAAAGCAGGGAGGTTATACTGCAGCTGGTGCCGGTGAGGCCACACCTGGAGTACTGCATGCAGTTTTGTTCTCCTTACTTGAGAAAGGATGTACTGGCACTGGAGGGGGTGCAGAGGAGATTCACTAGGTTGATTTATGAGGAGAGACTGAATGGACTGGGATTATATTCACTGGAATTTAGAAGAATGAGGGAGGATCTTATAGAAACCTGTAAAATTATGAAGGGAATAGATAAGATTGCAGCAGGGAGGTTATTTCCATTGGTGGGTGAAACTAGAACAAGAGGGCATAGCCTTAGGGGGAGCAGATTTACGGCTGAATTGAGGAGGAACATCTTCACCCAAATGGTTGTGAATCAGTGGAATTCCCTGCCCAGTGAAGAGGCTTCCTCATTGAATGTTTTTTAAAGCTAATATATATCATTTTTTGAATAGTAAAGGAATTAAGAGTTATGGGGAGAGGGTGGGTAAGTGGAGCTGAGGCCATGAAAAGATCAGCCATGATCTTATTGAGTGGCGGAACAGGCTCAAAGGGCCAGATGACCTACTACTCCTCCTGGCTCTGATGTTCTTATAACAAAAAGAAAATTGGGTAAGCATGTGAAGCAGTGGAAGATACCAAAACCAGGAGAGTAGTGAAATTCTTCATTGCTTCTTAATATCCATGACTCAAATATATTGGTCTGTGCACCACAGGTGTTGTATGTTCAGCCACTGGGCATGATGGTCTAATCTAGTTGGAGACCATTAAAACCAGAGATATATAAAACTGCCAGTACTCCAGATTAAACAGTGGGTTTTTTTTTTACCTTTAAAAGTAGGTTTCTGCACAATCTTCTGAACTGTCTTAAGGTGTTTACGTAGAAAGCCATCGAAGATGTGACCTGATAACACTTGGCCCAAATACCAAGCTGTAATACAGCACATCACAACTATTACAAGTTTGATACGGCCTGGTAAAAGAGAAAATTACATTTAACAATATTCAGTTAGCGTGAAGGGGAAGGAAAGATTTCTATGAACACAATACCTTTTGTTCCAGGTTCTGCTCTATGATCTCTGATAGAAATGATTAACCGTCAAAACAATCAGCATACTTAACCTTTATCCTGCTCAGCAAATCTTAGTTCTTAATTTTTAAGTATTTTACTATTATGTCAAATTTCTCCTTAATTTAAATGTTTTTTCTATAGTCGAGCGTCTGTGGTTGCAATTCTTAGTCGCTACATTACCCTCCATCAAGTGTCCTACTTTTTCTCACTAAAATACACCAAAGTACTGAGGATATTGGAAATAAGAACTAAATAGACTGAAAGTGCTGGACAACTCAGTCAATCTGGCTGTATCTGTGCTAAAAGAAAGAGTTAATATTTCAGGTTGAAGGTGACTCTTCTTCAACTCTGAACAACAGTCACGTTGGATTTGAAGCAATAACTCCAGGGATGGAATCTTCCCATCGACTGAACACTGTAGGCAAGTCACTTGGGAAAATGTGGTGAATTTTGTAGAAATGGGATTCTCAATGAAGAGAAAAAGGACCGATTCTGCAACGATGTTTTGAACAGCAAGATACAAATCTTGGTAGTGAGTGACAAGTGGCTTTTTATTTAAACTTGTACAAGCAGCAGTACAGTGGCTCAGTGGTTAGCACTGCTGCCCAACAGCACCAGGGACCTGGGTTTGATCCCAGCCTTGGACAACTGTCTGTGTGGGATTTGTACATTCTCCCTGTGTCTGCATGGGTTTCCTCCCACAGTCCAAAGATGCACAGGTTATGTGGATTGGCCATGCTAAATTGTCTGTCGTGTGCATGTGAGGTGGATTAGTGGTGGGGGTCTGAGTGGAATACTCTTTAAAGGGTCAGGATGGGCCAAATGGCCTACTTCCACACTGTAGGGATTCTATGATTCACAATGTGGGCATTGCTGGTTAGGCTATAAGTTATTGCTCCCTAATTGCCCAGAGACCAGTCAAGTGTCAACTGCATTTTTGTGGATCTGGAGTGACACAGGCAGATTTCCTTCTTATTGAATTCAAATTCCAATACCTGTCGTGTCTCTGGATTAATAGTCGAATGATGATACCACTGGGCCATTGCCTTGCTTGCCTAGTTGCATATATTATCATATATTAGTTTGTAATCCCACTTCTTTGATCTATTCTTTGACAGGGCAGAAAGGAACTGGATGGTAAGAATTCCTTAAGTACAAGGCAGTGTGGGTGCTAATTACTCCAGGACATCATCTTGGATAGCTGTCCCCAGCATCTCAAGGTGGCTCTCCAGGGACTACCTGCTTTCCCATCCATGGAGGTGGGCTTGGCTCCACTGCATCATTATGGCATATTCCCAAAGCACTGACAATGCAGTTTCATATTTCAATGCTGCATTTTGGAGTGCCATAGCCCCCTTCATTGTAATGCTACTGCCAGGACACTGAGTCCAGCAATAAGCAAAAAACCTCATGGATGCAAACAAAATCCTCACTTGCTCTCTGAGCATGCACCAACTTTGCAGCAATTTAGATGCCCACAGCATCTCTGCCCTACCTATGCTTTGCCCACTTAGCTGGAGCTCACAGTACTTCTGTCTTGCCTTGTCTTTTCATGTGGGCACTAAGCCAAGCAGCTTATCGTGGTTGTCAGCCGAAATCAGTCAAAGGCATGGACATGTTCCTGTACGCCATCATGCTTTCCAACGGGGGTACCATTACAGTAGGTCAAGGACTTTGTCAAATATTCATCCAGGGGCTTGAACACAATCAGTTTGTGGCTTGGGATACTCAAGGTCAAGGAGTCTGTACCTCTACAGCCCAGGGAGTGGGCCATGGATTGTCTAGCAGGTCCAGCACAACCAATCTGGGGAGTCAGATTAAGCTGCAGGAAGCTGCATAGCTTCACCTGATTTCTATCTCAAGTTGGTTGGGGAGGGTGAGTCACGGTCAGTCCTGTTGGTCTGTCCACAGAAAGTCAAAGGGGGTTATCAAAGGCCACTGCTCTGGTTGGGAAACTGGGGAATTCAATTGTGGAGATTGAAGGCAGCATGCCGGGGTGTAAAGGAGATAATAATTGTGAAGGGGGGGTTGCAATTCAACATATAAGGGAGGGAAGCTAATATAGCATAGGAGGGAAAGAGCTAAGGGATAATTAAGGATGAACAGGCTCTTCCTTGAATTCTAATGGCTGTGATCATTATTATTAAGTTTTACCAATCTCTGTTCTTCTCTGATTCCTCCATGTGCTTTTTTTCAAACTCAAACTTTGTTGGCAGCATCAACCTCTCACAGTTGCTAGGGAAACATATCCTTGTATCATTTTTGCATTGTTAGATATATGGCCTTCGCTGCACCTGCCTACTGCTTCTCTGCAAAGGGTCATACTATAGAATAGGTGTATCAATCCAGATTATATGAATGAATGATGAATGATGATTTTATTGTCACATATGTCTTGAAGATATAGTAAAAAGTGTTTTGTTGCCACAATCCGGGGCCATTTTGAGCTACAAAAAGAATAAAAAGAAATTATTTAAATAAGAGTTGATCTTCTGTTCAAATTGAGTCTCAAGCACAGTTCCAGGGCTTCTGCAAGGTGTCTACGAGGTATTCTATTTGTTACGAAGTTGTGTAGCGTATTCATGAATTGGAAGGCAGGAAGTTAGAATTTGTTGGTAAAAATGATTGTGGTGAAAAGAGTGCCGTGGTCCCTTTGAGAACTTGTGCTTTGTCTGTGCTTGGAAGTTTATAAATGCAGCTGCACAGAGAGTGTCCGAATGGAAACATTTTGTATAGAACAGCCAAGCAGCACTTTGTCTGAAAACAACAAGTTTGAATTTGATCAATTAATTTAAACAAAGCACTTAGGTACAGAAAGCCAAATGAATTTAAAACTGATAGTGTTGACAACCTGAAACCAATCATTTTATAAGAATTTGATTACGTCATTATGGGTATATAAGACAAAGGCATTTGAAAAATCAGGGAGAGCCATTTGCCACCTGCCAGAATTAGCACCATTCAGCTCTCAGAGAAAGCCCATCTAATTAATCAAAGGTACTACGGTATTTTAGCTCAACGTCCTCATTGAAGAAATTATAGAGATAAAAACATCCCTGACAGCAGAATTAACAGAAGAAAAGTGTTTGTGAAGAGACCGGAGAAGACAGAATATTCCAGAAGACAGTCTGTGTAAACCTGGAGAGATTAAGTTATAATTTATTGCTTCTTATTAATTGGGTTTACTTTAGTGGGACTTGTCTTTATTTAAACAGCATTCCAGTAGAATTTAGACCAGTTAGGGAACGGTTAGCACTTTGGGGGGAATTGTTGGTTTGTTAGTAATTTTGTTAATTTGTTCACTGTTGGGTTGAATAAGTAAATTGTTTCTTGTTACTTGTAAAGTGGAGATCAGGGATTTTCTTTCTTTTAACCACTCTCTTTTAGTAGATTACGAGAGGAAAGATGAGCTTCTTTTGGGTGTTTTGAGAGTCATTATTAGACAGAACACCCACTACTCAGAGAGTACCAAGGGCGCGGAATGCTCTGCCTGCAAAAGTAGTAGACTCGCCAACTTTAAGGGCATTTAAATGGTCATTGGATAAACATATGGATGATAATGGAATAGTTTAGGTTAGATGGGCTTCAGATTGGTTTCACAGGTCGGCGCAACATAGAGGGCCAAAGGGCCTGTACTGCGCTGTAATGTTCCATGTTCTATAACAGATTGGGCCTTGTGTTTTAGTTTAATTATCAGAGAGATTTGGCTATTCCCCATTCTAATACAGTTCTCGAGGAGTCGTGCTTTGGGAAGGTCAATGACAATGCCAATGCCCCAGGAAACCCCAGCTCTGCTGCTGTCCAACACTGCTAAGAGTTCAGGCTCCAGGCCTACTGCTGCCAGGAGTTCCTGCTCGGGGCCCTGCTGCTGTCAAGTGTCCAGGCTCGGGGCACTGCTCTTGTTGCCAGGAGTTCCGATCCACCCACGCCCATTGACGCTGCAGCTATCGCCCCACTGACACTGCTCTAGCCTCAAAGATGAAGAGAAGGATAAGAAAAAGAAGACAAAAAAGTACATAGTGAAAAGCATGCTGCTGGCCTGGAGCAGATGGGCTCCAAAGAGCCGAAGCACTTCCTACCATAATGGCACCGTCATATTGAACCAAGTGCCACATCTGGCATTAGCTACATTTCACACAGGTGAGATGGAAGAGATGGGCTCTGATGGGCATAAGAACATAAGAAACAGGAGCAGGAATAGGCCATCTGGCCCCTCGAGCCTGTTCCACCATTCAATAAGATCATGGCTGATATTTTCTTGGACTCAGCTTCACTTACCTGCCCGCTCGCCATAACCCTTAATTTCTTTACTGTTCAAAAATCTATCTATCTTTGCCTTAAATGAGGTAGCTTCAACTGTTTCACTGGGCAGAGAAAAGAGTCAATTAGACTTGAAATGTTGGCTTGCTCTCTCTCCATGGATGCAACCTGACCCACTGTGATTTCTAGCATATTTTAGTCAGTGACTTGGAAGAGATAGCAGGCTCCATGTTTCTTTTCATTTGATTATTTACAAACAAATCGGAAGATAACTTTCATAATCTCTGCCTCGCCTACGCAGTCCATTTTCTGCAGTATATTCTTTTCAGTGGTGCCTTTAGACCCAAGCCAACTTCAACTTCCTTTTATTTGCCTCATTCCAGTCCCAGGTCTTTCCCTGATTTTGTGTCTCCATCCTGTTAGCCAACAAAATGAATACTGTCCATTTTTTAGTCTCTAATTGGGGAGATGGCCGCTGGAAGTTGTGAAGGGTAATGACCAAACTATGCGAGTGGTGGATGTGGTTCAATGGGAGAAAGTGGGAGATAATCCACCTCAGATTTGAGGAAGACAAATTTGATTATTCTAATGGTAGGGGATTAAAATTGTGGAGGAGCAAATGGTTTTGGGGAAGCGACCAATTACACAAATTACAAAACAAAACCTGGTGGGAATTTTACAAAACCATATCAAAAAGTCTAATAGATCTAATGGCAAGGGGTCGGGGGTTGGGGGTGTAGAATATGCTGATGTTCCCATGCTTCTGCTTCCCCTGTCCTTCAGAAATGTAGGTGTTGATTTCTAACCAGACCTGTCAAAACATTTTTGCATTGCAACCTCTGAAGGAAGCAGGTTCCTGCAATGTGGTTATGGATAACTGCATTATAACTCTAGGGCAGTGTCAAACTGGATTAGCGACTGGCAATAATTACTGACTGACTCAAACAAGCTAAATTCTTGAATTTTGCTGCAGCATCCTAATTGCTGCACCCTAAATCTGAGCAAGGGTAAAGAAGAGGGTGTAACTGTACTTGAGCAAATCAGAGGAGATTCACCAGGTCATTTCCTTGGATGGAGCATTTTAATGGCGATTAAAAGCTGGATAAACTCGGATTGTTTTCTATAGAGAAGGCTGAGGGGGCGTGACTGGGGTGTATACAATTATGAGGGTCATGGACAGAGTGAGTAGGAAGCAGGTCTTCCCATAGGACCATAAGAAATAGGAACAGGATTAGGCCATTCAGCCCTTCAGGCTTACTCTGCCATTCAATAGGATCATTGTTGATCCAACATTCTTCACATCCACTGTTCTGCCCCTTCCCCATAAAGCTTGATTCCTCTCCTGATCGGGAATCTATCCTTCACAGTCTTAAATATACACAGAAACTCTGCGGCAAGAAGTTCCAAACACTCGTAACACTCTCTCGAGCAATTCTTCCTCATCCCTTTATTCCGAGACTATGCACTCTTTAATGTTTAACGAAGTTTGGGTTGTAGATGGAGTTGTTGCTCGATTCGCCGAGCTGACTGGTTTTTGTACAAACGTTTTGTCTCCCTTCTAGGTGATATCTTCGGTGCTGTCTCGCCTCCTACTCTCCGTCTTTTCATTGCACTCCAATATAGGACGACATCAGTTTGGCTGGGACAAAGTTACAGTACTAGGACAAGCAAAATAAAGACAAGCACGAGAATTCCCAGAGGCCTGGTTTTCAACCACCGATATGATAAACAAACATGTTGAAATAGACCCCATCTACATACCACAACGGTACAAAACTGAAAACAAGACTACCCACCATATAAATTCAGAGTGGGACAGAACAACAGTACTTTAACGCAGGCTAGACAGCACTGAAGATGTCACCTAGAAGGGAGACAAAACGTTTGCATGAAAACCAGTCAGTTCAGTGAACCAACCAACAACTACAACTATGTACTTTGGTCCTAGACTCTTCCATGTGGCAAAACATCCTTTCAGCATTTACCCTGTCAAGCCCCTTAAGAATCCTGTATGTGTCAATGAGATCACCTTTCATTCTTCTGAATTCCAATGAGTAGAGTCACAACCTGTTCAGCCATTGCTCATAAGACACAGAAACACAGAAAATAGGTGCAAGAATGGGCCATTCGGCCCTTCAAGCCTGCACCACCATTCAATATGATCATGGCTGATCATGCAATCTCAGTATCCCATTCCCACTTTCTCTCCATACTCCTTGATCACTTTAGCCACAAGGGCCACATCCAGCTCCCTCCCCTGAATATAATCTAATGAACTGGCCACAACAGTTTCTGTGGGAGAGAATTCCACAGGTTCACAACTCCTTGAGTTCTTCTTCATCTAATGGCTTACCCCTTATTCTTAGACTGTGACCCCCTAGTTCTGGACTTCCCCTACATTCCTTCTGCATCTAGCCTATCCAATCCTTTCAAAATTTAACATGTTTCTATGAGACCCGCTCCCCCCCGCCCCCCGCCCCCCAACCACCCCACCATCCCACCGACACACACCCCATTCTTCTAAATTCCAGTGATTACAAGCCTAATCAATCCAGTCTTTCTTCATATGTCAGTCCTGCCATCAGTCTGATCAACTTTCGCTGGACTCCCTCAATAGCAAGAATGTCTTTCCTCAGACTAGGAGACCAAAACTGCACACAGTACTAAAACTTTAGCCTCACCAAAGCCCTGTAAAAATGGGGCCATCCATTCATACCAGGGATCATCTGAGTGAACCTTCTCTGAACTGCCTCCAATGAAATGATATATTTCTTTAAATAGGGCAACAAAAACTGCTGGCAGTACTCCTGATGTGGTCTCCCCAGCACCTTGTACAGTTGCAGTAAGACTTCGCTGCTCTAATACTCCAATGCCATTGAAATAAGGGCCAGCTCATAAGGCGATCCCTTTGTTGAATTCTTAGTTGAAAGATTAAGAAGGAGGAGACATAATTTTAATGTGGTAAGCAGAAGGTTTAGAGGGGGTTTGAGGGGGGAGAAAACTACTCAGGGTGGTGGGAATCTTGAATGCACTAAGGATGGTTGAGACAGGAACCCTAACAATCTTTTAAAAAGGTTTCAGAGATGCAGATGCTGGAGAATCTGAGATAACAAGGTGTAGAGCTGGATGAACACAGCAGGCCAAGCAGCATCAGAGGAGCAGGAAAGCTGACGTTTCGGGCCTAGACTCTTCTTCAGAAATGGGCACTTGATTGAGCACTTGAAATGTAATAACATTCAAGGCTATAAATCAAATGATGGGAAGTGGGATTTGTATAGATTTAGAGTAGTTTCGACGGGCCGAAGGGCGTCTTCTGTATAATTCAACGATTCTAGAATTAAGAGGCCCTGTCGACAAAGCAGTTAGTTATCTGTGGTTCAACACACACCTACAACACCTACACACACACAGACACCACCTCCCAAAACGTCCAGGCATAAGTGCTCTCAAAGTGTTTACCACCTGGTGGAGAGAGAACAGGAATGAAAGAGGGGAGAAGGGGAACGAGGAGGTAGGGAAGTTAGGAGAGAACAGTGACAGGAAAGACAGGAGCTCTGATGTGCCTCGGGTGAGCAGTGGCACTGCAGAGAGAAACTGCAAAATTAGCGCCCGAGGAAAGTAACCAGTCAGCGGTGAAACTCACAAGAAATCTCGGTGTTAGTTTCCAAGAAGCGCCCCATTCACCTCAACATCGCAGAGAAGCAACAGCTGTTTTTAAATCTCAAGGACCACTTACCGTCTGCTCGAATTCGGAATTGTGTTGCCATTGTAACGCCTTTGCCGACCTTACCGTTTGTGTATTCAGTTAAGCAGCAACTTTGGACCTTTCAGGTCGCGTTTATTGTTGTTTTGGCGTGGGAGGAGGGGAAGTGGCTGCGCTCACATAACTGAATTCAGCAAATCCTCTCTCTCTCACACACACCGGGCGGGCTGACAGGTAAATCCATCATAAAAGGGTGTCGCAGTGATTCGTACTCAAGTACCGGGCTATGGGCTGAGACAAAAGGCTCCACACTTCAGCACAGCAAAGTAATATGTTACAAAGGAGAAAGGAACTATAAAGTTTAAAAGGCATTTGAACAAGTACATGAATAGGAGAGGTTTGAAGAAATGTGGACCAGCGGCAGGCAGGTGGGACGAGTTTAGTTTGGGATTATGGTCGGCATGAACTGGTTGGACTGGTTGGACCGAAGAGTCTGTTTCCGCGCTGTATGACTATGACTAGTCTCCCAACCTGGGGCAGGGAAGGATCCAGAAAACTATTGGATTTCTAAGTGTCAGGATAGTGTCATATGTAACAAGGTGTAGAGCTGGATGAACACAGCAGGCCAAGCAGCATCATAGGAGCAGAAAAGCTGACTTTTCGGGCCTAGACCCTTCATCAGAAATGGGGGAGGGGAAGGGGGTTCTGAAATAAATAGGGAGAGAGGGGGAGGCGGATAGAAGATGGATAGAGGAGAATATAGGTGGAGAGGAGACAGACAGGTCAAAGAGGCGGGGATGGAGCCAGTAAAGGTGAGTGTAGGTGGGGAGGTAGGGAGGAGATAGGTCAGACCAGGGAGGACGGACAGGTCAAGGGGGCGGGATGAGGTTAGTAGGTAGGAGATGGGAGTGCGGCTTTAGGTGGGAGGAAGAACAGGTTAGGGAGGCGGGGATGAGCTGGGCTGGTTTTGGGATGCGGTAGTGGGAGGGGAGATTTTGAAGCTTGTGAAATCCACATTGATACCATTGGGCTGCAGGGTTCCCAAGCGGCATATGAGTTGCTGTTCCTGCAACCTTCGGGTGGCATCGTTGTGGCACTGCAGGAGGCCCAGGATGGACGTGTCATCTGAGGAATGGGAGGGGGAGTTGAAATGGTTCGCGACTGGGAGGTGCAGTTGTTTATTGCAAACCGAGCGCAGGTGTTCTGCAAAGCGGTCCCCAAGCCTCCGCTTGGTTTCCCCGATGTAGAGGAGGCCACAACTGGAACAGTGGATGCAGTAGACCACATTAGCAGATGTGCAGATGAACATCTGCTTGATGTGGAAAGTCTTCTTGGGGCCTGGGATGGGGGTGAGGGAGGAGGTATGGGGGCAGGTGTAGCACTTCCTGCGGTTGCAGGGAAGAGTGCTGGGTGCGGAGCGGACAAGGGAGTCACGGAGAGAGTGGTCCCTCCGGAAAGCAGGTAAGGGTGGGGAGGGAAAGATGTCTTTGGTGGTGGGGTCGGATTGCAGATGGCGGAAGTGTCGGAGGATGACGCGTTGGATCTGGAGGTTGGTGGGGTGGTATGTGAGGACGAGGGGGATTCTTTTTTGGTTCTTATTGCGGGGACGGGGTGTGAGGGATGAGTTGCAGGAAATGTGGGAGACACGGTTGAGGGTGTTCTCAACCGCTGAGGGGGGGAAGTTGCGATCCTTGAAAAACGAGGACAACTGAGGGAGTGGAATGCCTCATCCTGGGAGCAGATGCGGCGGAGGCGAAGGAATTGGGAATAGGGGATGGCATTTTTGCAGGAAGGTGGGTGGGAGGAGGTGTATTCTAGGTAACTGTGGGAGTCGGTAGGCTTGAAATGGATATCGGTTTCTAGGCGGTTGCCCAAGATGGAGACAGAGAGGTCCAGGAAGGAGAGAGAGGTATTAGAGATG